TTATTTAATTGAAAAATTACAAATCAAATTGATTTGCTCTACAAATGAAATCAAAAATTTGTATTTCTTATTTGGTTGAAAAATCACAAATAAATTTTATTTTTTATTTGGTCAACAAACTAAATCATAATAATAATTTCTTAATTGATAGCGGATTTTAAATCAATAACATGACCGCGACGTTGACGTTGCTTATATCTCTCTATCTCTCTATCAACAGCAAATTTGAAATGTTTCTACGCACTTCTAATACTTATTTTTCTTCTTCCAGCGATAAGTGTCCGTGTCCAATAGCAATAGCAATAGCACACATCTACAAAAAATAAACCACCTATTCTGTTTTGTGGGTTATTTTTTCCCTTAAATATTGACGGTTATTTTGGGACACTTTCAAAGTGTTGACGGTTATTTTCGACCTCTGATAACAACTGATACAAATGAAAAAATTATAAACAGCGTAACGAAAACATAAAAATATCCAATGAAATGAAATAATGAAAACTTAAAATTTTTATCACTATTCCCTTACATTAACACAGTTAACAGTTAAATTTTAATCATAAACAATTTCGTTTGGGGTCGCCATAGCCTACTAAGTATATTCCGAGTAAAGAAATTTCTAATAACAATAGATAATATTATTATGATTATTATTATTATTACTATTGCGAACTCCTATTATATGCGCAAACAGACATTCTCAAATTAAAGCTAAAGCAGAAGGGCATTTACGATCGCATGATGCAAGTGTTAACATAGTAAGAGCTGCGTGTAATTTCTGGCGTGTGCCGATGACATCCACATCATCGGTAACAAAAACCTCGAAGTCTGTTCTGCCTTTCCAAGTTGGATAACGAACGATAACAACATCAAATAAACAGTCAGCACTTTCGCGCCTTGGCACCCACGACACTGTTGATAGTTACAATTTCGAGAAAGTAGAGAATTCCGTTTACTTGGGAACTAGCATTAACACCGATAATAATGTCAGCATTGAAATCCAACTCAGAATCACTCTAGCCAAAAAGTGCAACTTTTAACTGAGTAGGCAGTTCGGGAGTAAAGTTCTCTCTTGACCTACAAAAACCACACTCTATAAGTCACTCATCATTCCCGAACGGGTTTATGGCGCAGAAGCTTAGACAATGACAAAATTCGATGAGACGGCTCTTGGAGTATTCGAAAGAAAGATCTTACGAAAGATTTACAGGTCTCTCCGCCTTGGAGACGGGGAGTATCGCAGACGATGGAACGATGAGTTGTATGAGCTTTACAACGAAATGGTCATAGTGCAGTGAATGGAAATACAGCGGCACCGTTGGCTTGGACATGCCATTCAAATGGGAACCGACGTTCCAGGTCTGAAAGTATTTAACTTGCAAATGGAGAGACCAAGTGGAGAAGGATTTGGCTTCACGTGGCATTTCCTATTGGCGTCAGTTGCCACAGAGATAAACGACTGACGTTCTTTGTCGAGCTCGGCCAAATGGCTTAGGCGGTTCCAGCGTCAAATAAGAAGGAGAAAATAATATCTGGGGACCTTATTCTTGGATACGCCTGGAGGAACTAGGAAAACATTCCTTATCAGATTGATTCGGAGGACGGTTTGTTCAAAAAATTACATAAGCTTAGCTAGGGCTCCGCCTGGAATTTCTGCGACATTGTTATAAGGTGAAAGAATTGCTAATTCAGCAATCATACGTGCAATATTTCCAGAAGATCCGGTATGGAAAAAGTAATACGAAAATTTAAACTCATTGTTTGGGATGAGTGTACAATTGCACACAAAAAATTGCTTGAGGTTTTTGATCAATTCTCGCGAGATTTGCATGGAAACGTTTAACCATTCGGGATTGCATTGATGTTGTTCTCAGGAGATTTAACGCAAACATTGCCTGTAATTTCGCGATTAACACTAGCGGGCGAGATAAATGCTTGCCTGAAATAGTCTACATCGTGGCCAAGGTGAAGAATTCCCATGATTCCGACCGATACACAATTTCAATTTAAAAGATTGCAATTCCCAATTCAATTGGCATTCGGAATCGCAATCAATAATGCCCAAGTCAACCTTTGGAAAAGTGTGGTAAACCTACCAAAAGTAGTCAAAAACATTGTTTTGCAAACTGTAACTGTTTTACCACATACGGTCAGCATGTACTTATTTGAAACCATCTTTCTATTATGAAGGCTAATCTCTAGACGTGTTGCTTCATTATATCGCGCAATGTAGTCCCATTGGCGACTGTGATCACCGATGCTCCAGAACTCGGTAAAAATTGCGAGTCGCTGCTCTTCGATAATTTTCTTTGAGCAAGAGAATCTACATACACCGCAGCCAAAACCCATTTTTCTCTCGAAAATTGGAGCGTCTGTTTTGTTCACCCCTGGGCTGCCTGAGCATTTTACTTTTTTGGCTTTTTCGTGGTTCCACTCAGCTGGCGTTCGTTGCCGCTTTCGCGTTACTACCTTTCCAGTAATTTTAGTTTTCTTTTTTGGAAATTGTATAGTATCGTTATCTACCACACTATATTCAGTCCACTCATTGCTATCGTCGCTAGGACGCTGTAGACCAGAACAACTAGCTTCACCTATATGATATTGTATTAAATAGATTTTCTTTTTATAGTATAGAATTTAGGTTGTAATCATATTTCGGAATTAACCCCACTCGCATGCCATTCTATTTCCAAATAAACCGCATTAAAAACTAATTGAATTAAAAAGTAAACAGTCTGTAAATTTTACCTTCAAAAATGTTAATTATACATTTTCGTACAACGATATCTTCACGTGGTAGTAGCCCGCTGCATTGTAATGGCATGCGAAGTATCCTAGATAAGTACATCAAAATATTGTATAAAAAAGATTGGCTTACTCATTTGCTGCAATTTGCCGAAGGAGCTACTTCTTTCACTTGAACAAGATATATCGAGCAATAAGTAACCTAATTTGAGAAAGAATGATATATTTCATTCCAGCGACAAACTCGGTATATTAAAAACAATTTTTACCTTCTTCATAGCTTAGTTTCCCTTTAGTTTCATTATTATTTGGAATGGAGGCAGAATCTTCTAAATTTTTTAGTTTTAAGCTATTAAAGATAGATGAAAAAATATCTGAAGTGAGAAAATAATTTAGCCGCTTAAAATTTTTTTAATTAATGCTATTTTACCTTCCATTGTAGATTCTTTTAATTGATGCTGTGTTAATATGTAATGAAATTTTTTAGAATGCAAATTTTTGAGCGGAGAAAATTAATAACTCGTTCGACAACGAATCTAGTAAAAAATCAGATTGAAATGAAAATTTGAAAGACACAAAAGCAAAGTCTATATTGACTCCTACCAAAAAGTTAATGTGAAAACAAAATGCTTTCACAGTAATTATTTTCACTGTACCACATTTTTTTCAAGAATAAAAACCATACTGAAGATAATGCTTTCTTGAAGCGGCAGCTCAGATAGGTCGATATTGAGCCATTTGCTGAGATAGGGCGTTGTTCAATCAAATTCTGAGACGGCGTTTTCGGAGCGGCAGCTGAGATAGGGCGTTTTTGAATAAAATTCTGAGATAGGGCTTTGTTCAACTAAATTCTGATATAGGGCGTTGTTCAATCAAACTCTGAGATAGGGCGTTTTTGAAGAGGCAGCTGGGATAGGCGTTTATGAACCGAATTCTGAAATAGGGCGTTCTTCAATAAAATTATGAGATAGGGCGTTCTTCAACTAAATTCTGAAATAGAGCTTTGTTCAAAAATTTTCTGAAATAGGGCGTTTTCGAACTGGCTGCCGAGATAGGTCGATCTTCCACTCAGCTATCGATATATGATTTCAGGGACTAAAAAATGGACAATGGACAATCAAGTGTTTCTTGATATTCTCAAATAATAAAGATCTGCGCCGGTCGTTTTACTTCTTTTTAATATTCGGTATTCTCCATTTGAGATAAATTATTTTTAATCTCTTCAAAACACCAATGCCTTCGCGTAGAGACAAACCATTGGTTTGTATCCAAGCATAAATGCCATTGAAGTTACGGGTTAATAATAACTAAATCTGTTTTTATATTATTTGTAAACATTTCTTTAGTTCGACGAATAAAACAAAAACACCCAAAAAAAGGCCAAGAAAAATTTATTGACCCAAATTTTCTTGAGCAGTACGAAGTTCTCAAAAATTGTCTACGCTTTCTACTATGGTTTGCTAAAATTTGGTTGTGAAGAGTACAAGGACCCCTTGTTTTCAACAGAAATATATGCCCGTTCCATTATTTCGTAATGTAAAGGGGTGCAAAATATCAGATGTCAGATCTCCTTGGACACTACTATTCACACACGAAATAATAGCAATTTCCTTCTTGAACGTTTTCTTAAAAGGTCCGTACTTAGCTTTATACATTGAAATAAGCAAAATAAGCATGATCGTTAAAATTAGGCTTGGAAACCCTGAATACCAAAATAAGCAATTCCCCGCAGAGGCTTAAAATTTTCGGCCCTGGATATAACATTAAAATGCAGAACAAAAATTGGAGGAGGAGCTCGGCCAAACGCTTAGCAAAAATATGAGAGCCAAATAATTTGTATTTATTTATTTAAAGTATGCTTTATAAACTTAGATATAAGTTGAAAATAACTTAGCAAACTTATAAATTATATATATCGTCGTTTAAAGTGCAAAACCGCGTATCAACAAAATGCAAAACCGCGTATGTGAAATTTTAGAAATTATTTTCGAGAGTGTAAAAACACTAATTTAAAAATGGTTCTCTAGTTTATAAAGCAAACGCATTTCTGGCTAGTATATTTCAGAACGAATGGATAAGGATTGAGCCAAGAGCTTGTGTGAGCAAATCCAATTTTTGGCAGCCAATGTTAGTTACGCGGTTTTGCAGAATGACGATACGCGGTTTTGTACTTTAAACGACGATATGTATATACATATATAGTATGTGTACATTGTATATTCCTTTAACTTAATTTCATTTATTATTGTTTTTGCAGTATTCAAACGCGAAGTTAAATCTGTGGCGGATTCTGGCAAGTTTGCGGAATTTATGGGCAAAGGTGTCGTCGAATTCCATTTGATAAATATAGATGATATAGAGCAGTTTGAAAAGAAGCAGCAGTAAAGGAAATGAACTTAATTAATTTCAGTGCTCGCGGACATAGCATGCAGTTGAGTTTATGATTGTAAAACTTGATGTTGCTGGATTTACTAATCAGCTATTTTTAAATCTAATAATTGAAGCATCAAATATTTGTTCGTAGGCTTGCATAGTCAATGACGTGATGCAATGTCTACCTTGCTTTAGAAAATTATTGGGGAAACATTTTCTTAGTTTTCATAAATTTTACTGTATTATTCGCAGCTTTTATTATTGTACGCAGAATAATTTTTAAAATAAATTTAAAACACTACTCCACAAATTATGTGAGAATCGAATGAACGTAAGAACAAAACAAAACAATTTCTGCTAGTCTTGGGTCGCTGAATACGAAAATAATACCCATGTTTGTTTTACAAGAGATATTTGTGAGATTTTTTTCAAAACCCAAATATCTCATGAAAAAGTCATCCGATTAAGGTAAGCAGTTCCAAAGGTATTGATGTGTCCTTACCAAATATATATAATTTGAGCAGATGTAAGTAAAAATGATTAGTGTTGTCAGCAACCAAAGTCGAAAAAGTTAAATTTCCAATCATTTTTGTAAAGTAGTCAGTTTTAATTGATGATTTTTGATTAAACATTTATTTTAAGTATTTTTTAAATTCAATTTTCGACCAAAAGTGTGATTGTGTCAAAACCATTTGAAAAATATTGGTATTGTTCTCGTGTTCAGCGACCCGAAGTTAGCTTGGAAAATTATCTTTTAAGACAGGTTAATTTTCCGTGTAAACTAGTGAAATATTAGTTAAAACATGCATAAAGTTAGCAATCGACCATGGTCACCAAAATATAAAAAAGAAATATCGTTGTAAAAATTAAACACGAACACGTTCCAAATCCTAAAATAGCAATTATTGTGCATATGAAACCATTGTGTACCTAAACTTAAATTAATTGTGGAAAATAATAAAATCGTGTTAGATCCATTCCAGCGAAGATGACACCACAGGTAAAAAAATAAATTACATGATGGATTGTGTTTGAATCTGTGAAAACATTAAATCAGATAGAATAACTCTTTAGAAATAGATTTTTATCGATTTAGCTTTCTCTGTTTCCTCTATTTTTATTGTTATAAACGCAGCCGTAGTGTAACTATAATTATGTTCACATTGCGCCATAAACTCGAGTTTACGCTTTTCATGTACCAATGTACTAAGAGATCTTACCGTGACGTCTTCACTTAATCAAAAAAAAAAGTTCAAGATACACTTTTATGTGCAAAAAATAACTGAACAACTAAAAGTCTTCTTATATGTACGGAACTTATCATAGACAATTTTTATTTTGATTACCAGAATTAATGGTAGCCTACTCTTTAAGATTAATATCAAGCAATATCTGTGTACAAATAATAGTAGAAATTCCGAAGTTCAGTCACGAACTCATCCAAAAGTTTTGAGCAGTGTTAGCAAAATATTAATGATTAAAACTAACGAATAAATAGTTGATCGCGATCAATGATACAAGTTAATTAATAGTTATCATAAATACGAATAAATACCTTTAATCATTAATCCCAATTAAAAAGATATGATTGAGTAGTGTAGCTTATCCAAAATTTAAATTAAAACCACATACAGTACTTTTTTGTATACGACGGTTACTTGTGCTGACAAGGTGGGAGGGAGTGGTTAATAATGATTAAAATTCTGCTTACGTAATACTTGAATGGCCCCTTATCACCAAATTTGCTTAACCAAATAAATAGTTAATCTGCCTGATCTTGAGTTGCGCCTGAAAAAAAATTCACCCGAAAGTTTGTCATCCGCCCATAGTAAAGCCATGGAAACCAAAAGTGAAAGTGAACTGGTTCGGGGAAAATTAAACTCATGATAAAGCATAATGATACAAAACCATATATGTAATACTTCTATATTGGCAGTAAGCTAACTTCTCAATGTGTAAGCATTCCGAAATCAAAGAGAGACAGTCTAGTACAGTTTTTGTCAATGTATTGTGTACTTGAGTGCCGTTTTTTTATATGTGTTGTGTACATGTTTATTTATAAACGTATGTTTTCCCTTTCTTTCGTACGTGTTTATTGATATATCTGTACTGTAGTGTTTTCGGACGGTGGAGAATTGTAGAGGTTTTTCTACAATTTTTCTTGCGACTATTGTT